CCAAGCAGTACAACAAGCTCGCTCGGAGCGCGTCGTGCCTGCCCTGCTGTGTCTCTGCCCCGGCTGTACCTGCTGCATCCTGGGGTTTCCACACCTGCCTGAACAGTGCCCTGGGCTTCCCTGCCGCCTCCCGCCCCACGGTTGCGCCACCGCGCAGGCAGCCAAGGAGCACGGCGAGGCCGCGCAGGAGCGGGCGGGCGAAATGAAAGAGGCCGGCGAGCACAAGGCAGGAGAGCTGGCTGAATCGGGTGGGTGGCCTGCAGGCTGCCCCACCCGCTGCTTGTGTAGCAGGCTGGAACGGGTACAGCTCAAGCCCGCCTCCCTTGCTCAGCATCTCCGGCCGCGCGGGCAAGCCGCACCCTGCTGTGCTGGACTCAGCTTCTCTCCAGGCTGTCCCTGGCGCGGCGCCCTCCCCACTGCACTGGCCCTTTCTGTTCACCACCCGGCCCCCACCCGCCCGCCGCGTGCCTGCAGCCAAGCACACGGTCGCCGACGTGCGCCAGCGGGCTGAGGAGCTGGCGGAGGCCGGCAGGGAGCGCGCGGCAGAGGCGGGGGAGGCGGCGCGGGAGTATACTGGGGCAGCCAGGGACAAGGTGGGCGCGGTGGGTGGCTGGGAGGGAGGGAAAGGAGGCTGAGGTGGAAGGAGGCTGGGCTGGGCGGTGGGATGGGCGGGAGCAGGGGCGAGGAGGGTGAGCTGGACGAGTGGACTCCTTTTGTGGGTTGTTTATTGTGCGTCTGGCACCGATGAGCTGCCAAGGTTTGGTCTGGGCCAGGGCCGCGCCGCCGGCACGCGCCAGCCTGCGGTGCATCCAGGGCAGTGGCTGCGCTGGCGTGGAGGGAGGTGGGGCGGGCCCTGTATGCCGCAAGCTGTGCCCTGGGGCTGAGGGCGAGCCTCCAGCTCAGCGCCGCTCCTGGGGTGCAAGCCTGCTGCGCTGCACAGGGCCCGCCCTCCGCTCTCGGCGCAGCGCCGCCCCCTGACTGCCAGCCATCTCCGCATGGACAGGGGCCCAGCTGGGCAGGGAAGGGGGCTGCATCAGCCGCCAGCGGTGCCGCCAGCTGTGTCTGCACCAGGCGCACGTGCATAGGTACAGGCACACATGCCCAGGCACACGTAGCCCCGGACCTACCTGCGGCAGGCTCCTGCCGCCGCGGAGCAAGGGAACGCTAGGGCCTTTCTCCTGCCTACCGATTCCCCTGCCTGCCGCGCCTCCTCTGCAGGCCGCCGATGTGGCGCACGCGATGGGCGACAGCGTGTCCCAGGCTGTGGAATATATAAAGGAGCACCTGCCGGAGGTGCATGTGGAGCGTGCGGGTGGGTTGGGCGGCTGGGGCGCCACACCTGACGGCCCGGGGTGGGGCGCCCGCTGCTGCTGCTGCTGCGGCTGCTGTTGCGGCTGCTGGCCCTTGATGCAGCGGCGGCTGCGGCGGCTTCGGCTGCTGGCCCTTAGTGGTGTGGCTGCCATGTGTGACGCCCTCTTGCCTGCCCTCCTGCCAGCTCTGTTTGGCTGTCTCTGCAGGCCCCTGCCCTGCTCCCTGCCTTCCTGCTGCCTGCCTCCCTGCCTGCCAGCCTGCCTGCAACCCACCTGCCCGCGGCGCCTGCGCAACCACCCTGCGCGCCTGCAGAGTCTTCTCCCGAGGAGCGCGAGAGCCAGGCGCTGCTGGATGAGGCGATGGCGATGGCAGGCGGCGCGCCGGTGCCCATCCGCACAGAGGTGCGCCTGTGTGCTGAGGGCGCTATGTGGGAGGGGTGCCTGCTTGGCTTCGGGGCTGCTGCGGCTGCGCGCCGGCCGCTGGCAGGGCCGGGATGATGCCCTGCCTACCCCCGAGCCTGCGACGCAAGCTTTTGTGTGATGCTTGCCTGCCTGCCTGCTCCCTCCCTCCCGCCAACAGGCCCCCAGGCCCGCGCCAAGCCGCCCCGCCGCCGAGCCTGCCCCGTCTGCCAGCGCCGCGGCCCCGCCTGCTACCATCCCCGGCGCTGAGCTGGACACGGAGCCCTTCCGAGCCTACGAGCCTCGCACCGCCACCGACGTGGCCAACCGCGCCGCCGAGAGGGCCGCCGAGGTGTCGGAGGCCGCCAGGTCAGCGCAGCGCTGGGCCTGCCGCGCCGAGCCACGCGGCGCAGCCAGCTCAGCAGGCAGCGGCCACACGGGCCCGCACACAACAGAGTGTTTGAGGCTCCAGCCTGTATACTGAGCGCAGGGCTGTGTGCTGCTGTGCAGGGCCAAGGCAGCCGAGATGGTGCACCGCACCCCTGGCTCCGCCGCCGCCCCCGAGCACACAGGCGGCGCCAGGCAGGCCGCCAAGGAGGCCGCCCCCGATGAGCTGGCTGCCAGGTGGATAGGGTGCCAGCCTGGGCTGCTGTGGCCTGTTCCCCTGCCGTGTCTTCTGCAACAGCCCCGCCCAGGGGAGGCTTATCCCTGCACCTGCGCTTGCGTGGTCGGTCCTGGCAGGGCAGGGCAGGGCAGGGATGTCTGCTGCAGGCCAGGCACCAGCATCTCCTCCCCAGGGCACCCCTTCGCCTGCGCCTGCGCCCCGCAGGGTGGAGCGCGAGGAGCAGAGCGCCAAGGGACCTCTGGAGGCGCTCATGGACACAGTGAAGAGCACCACCGACTATGTCAAGTGAGGGGGAGGGGGTGTGGAATGTTCCCTGCAGGGGGCGCCAGTCTGTTTTGGGGAACGCTTGGGGGTGGGTGATGTGGCTTTGGGGGGGGGGGGGGGGTTGGGGTTCCGGCTGTCTCTCGAGAGGCACTTGCCGGAACGGGCGCAGGGCCCCCGGGGCTGGCATTGAGGGACTTCAGAGCCTGTGCGCCCGCCAGCGCCAGCCAGCTGGGACGAATGGAGGGATGCGTTGAAACCCTCGTGCGATGCTCTGTTCCTTCTCATTGTGGTGAGAACTGGGCACCGCTGGTGGCGCCTCCCTCTGTTCACCCACCTGGCGAGCCAGGGGGGCATGGGCAGACACACACTGTGTGTTGCTTGCGCTGCCCTGTGCATGCTGTGCCGCGCTAGCGCTGTGACCAACAGCTTGTTGGCCTCCGCTTTGTCCGGGTACCACTCATGGTGCCATGCTGATGTCTGTCAGCATGAGCATGGCACAGGAGGAGTGGTTCCCGGCCAAGGCAAAGGTCGGCAAGCATTGGGACACTGCATCAGCGATGCGCTTCAGAGGAGCTGCACCGAAAGTACCAACACCACCCCCACCAGTGGTCAGATGACCCGGAGTGAGGCCGCCGTCGCCCCCGTGCGCCGCCGCCCGCAGGCAGCACGTGCTGCGGTCGCCGCCGGGGTCGCCCCGGGCGGGCACCCCCCAGCCAGCGGGGCATCCAGAGCCAGAAGTGGTGGTGGTGCGGCGCACCGGCAGCGGGCGAGTGCACGAGTACTCGGCTCTGCCCGGGGACCTGCACCCCGCGCAGCTGGCGAGGGCCGCCAGGGTGGTCAGGTGTGCACGGTGGCTGCGGCGCTCTCGTATGGCGGTACCCGCGCTCCCGGCTCAGCCCCCCGCTGTACCCTGGCTCCCTTGGGAGTGGGGCTGTGTGGGCAAGAGGGGAGCATCTTGTTTTGGGCTTGCATCGTGGTTATGTGTCCTGCCAGTGCCGGTACCAGCTCCAGTACCAGCAGCAGGAGCTTCCCACCACCATCAGTGAAGTACTTGAAGGGCAGCCACACCTGGGCCCGCGCGAGGTAATCGTGGATCCAGGTTCTCCCAGCCGTTGGAACCTAAGTTGTTCTCACCCCTGGGAAGGCTGGGCCATGACAACCTCTCGATCCCAGTGCCAGCGCGCTTCAGTGCGGCCAGCGATGTGTGGACTCGGGAGAGCTCCCAGAATCAAGTGGCTTGAGTCGCCCCAGCGCGTTCCTTTGTTTCCCTTTCTCTGCCATCGCTCCAGGCAGGCAGCAGGGATGGGAGCCTGTGTTGAGCAGTGCTGAGGCCCAGCCGCCGCCGCTCGCCCTGCCGTGCCCAACCGCTTGCAGGGAGAAGGTGCTGCATGCGCCGGCAGCCACCGAGGCCACCGCCGCCGAGGCTCGCGACGCCACCGTGGGCGGCATGCGCGCCGCAGGTGACGCCCAGCAGCGGCTGCCTGGCAGGCGAACGCTCAAGGGTTGCCACACTTGCGTCAGACTGCTGCCGCCGGCGTGCTTGCCTGTTGCGCCTGCCTGCTGCCCTCTCCTGCTTTCCCCTGAAGCCCTCTCTCCCTCATCCACCCCTCCCCTGCTTCATTCCCGCTCCCTTCCTCCCTCCCGCTCCCCTCCAGGCCAGGAGATTGAAGGCACTGCCCGCGCCGCCACCGACAAGGCAGAGGGGGCATATGAGCAGGCCAGGGACACAGCCGGCTCTGCTGCAGACGCTGCTGCCGCCAAGCTGGATGCCGCCAAGCGTGCAGTGACTGAGGGGGCTGGCAGGGCTGCCGACACGGCTCGCGACACCGCGGGCAGGGCTGGCGACGCCGCTCGCGAGGCTGCCGGCAGGGCGGAGGCCCGGGCTGGGGAGGCTGGCGGCGGGGCCAGAGGGCTGCACGAGAAGCACGAGGGCGCCAAGGCGGCGGCATTCGCAGGTGGGGACTGATGGTCCCTGCATGGTGCCTCCTGTGGGGTGGCTGGAAATGCCGGCAGGCTCCGCCCTTCTGCTGCGTGGTGCTTCCCGAGCCTGAGCCTCAGTCTCAGCCTCCTGAGCCATCATCAGTTCATGCTGCCACAGTCCAGCTGACACCCGAGGTGCCTGCCCGTGCCTGCCGCCTGCAGAGGGCCGTGCGACTGAGGCAGAGCGCCGTGGGCCGGCAGAGGAAACCGCTGAGGCAGCGCACGACCGCTCTGCTGGCGCCCTGGCTTCTGCCAGGGAAGCGATTGAGGGGGCGGTGCAGGCGGCTGAGGATAAGGCCAAGTGGGCTTACCAGCACACCAAGGGCAAGGCCCCGCTGCTGTTGTACTGCTGCTTGTATTGCACTCTGTTGCACTGCTTGTACTGCTGCTGCCGACCTGCTGCAGCTGCTGCTTGGCTGGCGGCCAGGCTTTATCTTTGCATTGCTGTTGGCCGAGAAGCTGAGGATGTGCCTGCGCGTGCACTGATAAGACCCTGCTCTGTCCCGACAATGGCTCCGCCCTGTTGCACCTGGCTGCCTGCAGAGGAGCTGCAGCAGGGCGCTGAGCACTGGAACCCGCCGCCCAAGACTCCCGAGGATGCGGCGCGCCAGGCGGGTGAGCCAGTGCTCCCCTGCTCCCCTGCTCTGCTCTGCTTCGCTGTCTGCTCCTCTGCACGCATGGAAGCAGCACGGCCTGCTGCACTCTTCCTTCAGCATTGCCGGCGGCAGTACTCCCATTCTCCATTTGCAGCCCACTAGCCCGCCTCCCCGCCTGCAGGCATCATTCCGTCTGACACCGAGTCCCTGCTGAAGCAGCGCGGAGGGGTGGGTTGGCGCCGGGCTGCTGCTTGATTGGCACTACGCTGGCAGGGCTCTCTCGCATTTCCTGCTGCAGCGGTGTGCGGCCGTTGAGGCTGGGTGGCCGCTGCAGCCCAAGCACCCACCGTCTGGCAGCCTGCGTGCTGAGGCGGCCGTCTGCTTCCATGTCACTGCCAGCCTGTCACTACCTGCCTGCACCGCCGCTCTGCCTGCAGGCGGCCTACGAGGCGCATGAGGCGCGGGAGGATGAGGAGCGCAATAAGATCAGGACCAGTGAGGTGTGTGGGGTCTGGGGCGGGCTGTGGAAGTGTGTTTGCATCGGCCTACTGAGGATGAGGAGTGCTGGCTGGTTTGCTGGCTGGAGTGCTGGCTGGCTTGGAGGAACAGGCAGAATGTGGGGGAGCCCGAGCTCAGCTGCATCCTCATGCTTGGAGTAGGCACCTTGCCCAGCCTCCCATGCGCCCATCCACCGCCGCCGCTCCGGCAGGCGCCACCAATGCCTGGCCTGCCATGCTTGCTGCCCCCTCCTGCAGCTGCTGGATGAGGCTTCCCTGGCCTATGGCGAGGAGAACCTGGCTCCCGGCGACCTGTCCGGTGAGAACCAAGGGGGACCTGTGTCAGGCTGACTCAGCGCCAGCAGGGCAGCAGCGCCAGCATCCGCAGGAGCAGCCGAGGCTGCCTGGCTGGCGCCTGAGCAGGGGCCGACTCGGCAGCAGTGCCGCTGTCCCTCAACCGCGGCGGCAGCAGCAGCCTGAAGCCCCAGGCGCCAGCCGGCACACTACCCTAAAGCATCTGCCTGCCTTGGCCGCTGCTCGTGCCGCCCCGCATGATGCAGACGTAAAGACGGAGGCAGAGGGCGGCGGCCCGCTCGCTGACATGTCGCGTGGCGGCGCCGGGGCAGGCGAGGGCCTGAAGGGCGCGCTGGGGCGGGTGTCTGCCGGGGCCAAGGAGGTGGCGCACGGCGCCAGGGAGGCGGCCCGCGATGCCAAGGAGGAGCTCAAGGCGGAGCTCAAGGCAAGCTGCGGTGGCCAGCAGGCTGGCTGCCCGTTGTGCTGCTTTGCCTTCGCCTGCGCTGCCAGAGGGGTTAGCTTGCAAAGGCTGATGTGGCTGGGCAGCGGTACCGCCTGCAGGATGCGGTACAGGACCTGGGGAAGGACGAGCCGGGGGACGAGGGCGAGATTCCCTCCTGAGCCTGCCCGCCTCGGAACACCAACCGCCTGCCTCAGGCTTAGCAGCCGGCCCAGCGGCAACGCGCGATAAGGCTGTGGCCGGCGGCTGGCAGGACAGCTTGCTGTGTTTGGCGAACAAGAATGTGGTGTTGATGATTTCGTTTTTTTGTACGTTCCAATTCAGCATGCATGTATGTCGTGTGACCAGTTGCACGCCATGAAAGCGTGCCAGAACCAACAACAAGAAGTGCAACAACAAGGGCAAGGAGGAGGGAAAGAGACAGAAAGAAGGCGAGAGGGAGAGGGCAACTGGCTTCACTCCAAAGCCAAAGGATGCTGCTGCTGAAGAAAAGGCGGGCGTTGCTCGCTTCAGCGGGCGCCGCGTCCCGCCCTCAGCCCCGCCTTTGCCATCTCCGACATGTGCACGCTGGAGGGCTGGGGGTCGGTCCCAAACAGCTGGTCCACCTGCGCCCCACAGGGAGGAAACATAAAAGTGCGCGGCAGCTGACAGCAGCAGAAGAAGGTACACACGCGCGCACACGCACGCGCGCGCGCGCGCACACACACACACACACACGTCAGCGCGGATGCCAGCCGTGCATTCCATGGCCCGAACCTGCCCCCCCGCGCCCTCACCTGCGGCACCGTGAAGGCCAGCCAGTAGGCCTCGTTCCTGGTGTGGTGCAGCAGGTGGTGCATGCGGATGCGCTTGGCCAGGCGGGAGGTGGGCAGGTAGCGGGTGTGCACGATGTAGTGCCTGCGCACGCGCACAGACCAACGGTGACCGCACCAGACAGCACCAGGCCCAAAGCACCCTCCATCCGTCTCCCCCTGCCGGCATACCCCGCCCTCCATCCCAGCCCAAAGACTGCCGTCTTCCCAACCCCAATCCCATACTCAGCCTTCCTGTTCCCCGCTCCCAACCTCCTCTCCCCCACTCCCAGCCAGCCCCCCAGGCCCAGGCCCATCTGCACCGCCGCACTCTTGATGCCGCTCACGTGAACTCATAGACGAGCCCCATACTGTAATAGGCCGCCGCCGCCGTCACCGCCAGCTCCGAGCCGCCAAAGGCGAGCCAGAACAGCGCCAGGCTGGCGGCCATGAAGGCCAGCACGATGGGGGGGTCGTCGATGGAGACCTGCGCAGAGGGCGGGTTGGGCGGGTGGCATGTGTTTGTGGTGTGGGTGTGTGTGGATGAGGTGTGGCCATGCAGCCGGGCGGGTAGCAACGCCGGCTGCAAAGAGGCAGCGGTGCAAGCGGCAGGAGCAGCAGCAACAGCAGCAGCGGCAGCGGCAGCGGTGGAGCAGCAGCGGCTCGGGGGCAGCACGCACGGGCCCGCCAAGCAGGAGGCGCGAGCGGCTTGAGAAGGCGGGCGGGCTCACATGATAGTAGGGCCGCTGGTGGTGCCCCACGTGAATGCGCCTGCCCACCCAGTCCCGCTCGCTGTGCAGCAGCAGGTTGTGGATCAGCCACTCCTGCACCGCCCAGCCCGCCGCCACGCAGGCCGCCACGGCGCCGTCGGCGGCGGCGTGCAGCGGCAGGTGGCAGCGCCACGCCAGCAGGCCCGCCAGCGCGGCCAGGATGAGGAGGGAGGAGGGGTGGGTGAAGAAGACGGCCAGTGCGTGGGGCAGGGTGCGGGGCACCTCCTGCTCCTGACCCTCAGCAGCCGCTAAGGACAGCGCGCCGCCGCTGCGCGTCGGCGCCTGCTGCAGGTGGATGGGCGGCGTGTGCGGCAACGGCTGGCTGTCGCCGGCGTGCAAAGAGCTGGGACGCTCCAGCTGGTGTGGGGACCCGGGTCCCATCTGCTGCATGTTCATGTCGTCGGGCAAGGCCAGCTGCTGCTCCTGCTGGGTGGTGGCCGCTGCCTGCGGCTGCCACCGCCGCTGCGGCGCCCGGGGCGCCTGCGCTCTTGCAGAAGGGATGCCAGTCCTGGCTGCAGCTGGACGCGGGAAGCGCATGCCAGGCGTGGGGCGGCCTCTGCAAGGCCCTCCTTCCTCGGGCTAGGCCGCCAGGGAGCCAGCAAGGGTTGTGGGCGCGGCCAACAGCGCGCCCGCGGCAGGTGGTGCACGATGCGACAGCACTGCACACCAGAAGTGCCGATCGTCCATTGCATTGGCCGGATCGCTGGAGGCGCTGGAGACCCCATCATGTCCTGCTGCAGTACAGTGGGGAAGCCAGTTCTGAGAGCCCCCGATCGCGCAACAGGCATTGGCATCGAGACTTGCAGCCCTGTGCAGCTCCGGGGAGTGGTTGTAGCTGCGGCCGCTGCCCAGCCCCATCCCGCGCCTTTGCTGTGAGGCTCAAGGCCAGCAGGCGGGCATCCCTAGCCAGCAGTGAGTGCCGGGCCGCCGGGCCGCCCGGGGTTGGCGAGGGTGCCTCCCTTGCAGCCCGGCCTGGCCAGCTCTGCTGCACCAAGTGGTTCTCATCGGTTGGGGTTGAACACGGGGTGGCGCAGCCGGCTCCAGTGAGCCGGACGGGCGCCGGACGGGCAGCCTCCGCCCCGCCCCCGCCCCCCGACGGCACTGCTTCGTCTGCTCCGTCGCCCTCGCATCTCTCTCCTCTGCCATACCCAGACGCCTGCGGAGCGGAAGATCTGAGATCAGCTGCCTACCCGCTGCTCGCCCATGCAGGTCGCCCCAGCGCCAGCAGGGCGGCAGCGGCATGTCGCTGACCAAGTATGTGGCGTCGGCTCTGGGCAAGGCCTCGTTCCGCGAGGCCTGGGCCGCGGGCGGCTGGAAAGTGTTGATCGACGGCAACCTGGCGTGCGTACAGGCTGCTCGCCGCTGCGCCTGTGCTTGCTAGCCTCGCTCAGCTCAGCCGCTCGCCTGCCTGAAGCATGCTCCCGAGGACCGCCGGGCATGCCCGCTCACTGCTGCGCGCTGTTCCCTGCCTCCTGTTGGTCGCTGCCGCAGCGAGACGCTGGTGGAGCACGGCCCCAGCGCCGGCGACCCTGCGGTGCTTGTGGGCATGGACCAACACGGCAACAAGTATTTCGAGAAGAAGGGGGCGCAGTGGGGTGAGCGGAGCTTCGCGTGAATGTGGGAGCCGCCCTCTCGGCGCGCCCGCCTGCCTGCCTGCTTCAATTGCATGCCCAGCTGCGTTTCCTGCAAGCCAGCTGCATGCTTGACTGCCTGGATTGATTCAGCTTGCCTACATGCCGAATGCACCCCTTCCTCATGCTCCCTTCCCTCCTTTCAGCCCTGCTGCCACTCCCCCCCCCCCTCCACCGCAGTGCGCAACCGCTTTGTGGTGTATGCCAAGGCCGACCACTGGCGCACGCAGGACCCCAGCTCGGTGCCACCCGAGTGGCACGGCTGGCTGCACTACATCTCAGACGATAATGGGGTCAATGTGAGTAATTAGTGATGCTCCAGCGCATGGGGCCAGCGCTGTTGTTTGGGTGTGCTGCTGCTGCACTACGATCGGCAATGGGGGCAGCGTGAGCGGCAATGGGGGCAGCGTGAGCGGCGCGCTGTGGCTTGGAGGGCAGAACGGCAGTCGTGTGCAGCATGCAGCCAACTGAGCAGTATAGGCGTGAGGCTGGAGAGTTGGGCCTCCTTCCCGTGCACCAAGGGCTGGCTGCTGGTGCTGTGTAGACGGGGGCTGCTGCCGCTCAGGGCAGGCTCGTGTCCCCTGCTCCCAACCCTCCCGCCGCTGCGGCTGCCGCCGTTGCCTCCGTGCAGACGGAGTGGAAGGCGCCGGTGTATGCCGGAGAGGCCAACGCGCATCCCTCGCTGACGGGCGGCAAGGTGCACCAGCCCAAGGGCGCCTGGTCCAACCCCGAGAAGCTGAGCTGGAGGAAGTACCAGCCATGGACGCCTGCCAGCGCTTGAGGAGGACCCCACCTGTCGCTCAGCGCACGGCGTGGCCGGAGGCCGGCAGAGCTGCATCAGCACTTGGATTGGCTGAATGCATCGCAGCCAGGTCAATGCAGGCTCCGGCCCAGCCTTGGGTTCACTCATGCTCCTTTCTCCCCCTCTGTTGTGTACACTGTCCCTGCTTCCCGCTTTCAGGCTGCCCGCATGATGCGGTTGACCTGCTTCTTGGCAACTCACACTGTCAACACGCTGCTCGCAATGCATGCTTACAGTCAGCAGCTGGCAGCAGTGTTGGCACATGAGAGGGTCAGCTTGCTGGTGTGTCACTGGTGCCCCCCAGCTCAGGTGCCGCAGCTCTGCGCGTCTTGATGCGTGCCGCTGCCGCCAGCCGCTGCAGGGCACCAACAAGCGCCGCTTGGCAAGGCTGCCGAGCTGGCCTCTCTGCCAGCTGAGGCAGCGCTCCACCCTGCTCGCCGCTGCCGTCTGGCTCCTGCTGCACAGATCGGTGAGGGTGGTCTTTCTTGTACTCCTCACCCGCACGCCTCACCGCCTCTGTGGCCTTGTCCTCATCCTCCCTGACCGCGCTGCACGGCACGGCTGGGCGCGTGATTCAGGGGAGGCTGGGACACGGCCGCAGCGTCCGGGCCACTGCGCGCTGGGCGCAGCACAGGGCCCACGCCGTGCCTGCCTGCATCGCGCAGCGCAGTTCACAGGCGCCCTCCTACCACCAGCTGCACTCATCACACATCCACACTCAGCTCCCGGGGACCCCACCTCCTGAGATCCTCCATCTCCTTCTGGCGCCAGCTGCGCCCGCCATCGGAGGAGGCGTCCTGCAGCAGCTGCTCGTCCTCGTCGGGCTGGTACTGCCTGCAGGGCAGCCGCACATTCTGCCACCGCTTCTCTCATGTGGTGCATTTGCGTGATGCAGGCTGTAAACACACGGGAAGGCACGCGGGCAGCACCTGGGCGCCGAGCGCTTTTTCTTGTCTCGGGAGTGCAGCATCTGGTCAGCCGCCTCCCTGATGTCGTCTGCACCACAGCGGCACAGCAGTACAGCAGCACACAGCAGCACAGCGCATGTAAACGCAGGAGGTTGCAGCTTGCCCGGCAGCAAGGCGCCAGCCTGCACGACCCGGCTGGCAGCAGGTGCACAGGGGGACGCTGCCTGCAGCAAGACGCTGGGAGCGGTACCAGCGCAGCAGCATGGCGGCACGGCAGTGGTGCCTGGGCCTGCCTGCGGTGAACATGCCGCGCTCAGCCTCCTCCCTGGCGTGCTCCCGGCGCTCGTGCACTGCATCTGTGACCTGCAGCAACCCGCAGGCAGAGCACCAAGTTATGCACGGGGCACAGCCACCTCTTCACGCAGCCTGGATTCTGCGCAGCTTCACCCATCACATCACCGCCACATGCCCGCTCGGCGCACCCACCCTGTGGATTGCGTCCTCTGCCTTGTGCACCGCATCCTCGGCCGCGTGCTTCAGCTTCTCTCCCAGACCCTCCTGCACTCGCCCAGGGAACACCAGCACAAGGCATGATGCTACTCCGGCAGCCCACCGCTCCCCTGCGCCACCACTCCTGCCGCCGATTGGCGGGCACGGGTTCTGAGTGCAAGCTGCGCGCTGTCCCGGCGATTCCACAGCAAGCAGTCCCCAGTCCAAGGCATCAGGTGCCCTGGTGCCCCAGGGTTTCGTACATGGGGGCCTGCTGCCGCCACCATGCCGCGGGAGGCCAGCAGGCAGGGCAAGCCCAGAGCCTGCAAACGCCAGCAGCTGTGCGCCAGCATTTTGGCAGTAGAGGAGGGGAGAGCCGCCCTCCTGAATGTATGGCTGACCTGGCCCAACTCGAAAGTATGTTACATCGTAGCCTTGACACAGGGACCAACCGTCTGCCCACGCATGTGATCTGCGGATACATTTGCAGCAAGCAGTGTCTCCTGCTCTCCCCCCGGCGGCGGGCCGGCGGGCGGCGGCGGGCAGCGGGGACCCGAGCGCTGTCACGCTTGCGCCTCCCACACCTCGCTGCACGCGCATGCTATGCACCCAAGAGACCAGCGTGGTTGGCTCTCTCTTTGCTGTTACATCCAACGCTAGAGAGGCTTTACAACCGAACAATGAACCAAAGCAGCACACACACAACGGCACACACATGAACTCCAGGGGCACAACCTTCACGTGAAGGTTGTGCCCCTGGAGTTCAGGATGAGCTAAGGATGTGCTGCCGCTGCCCGGGCCGGCGCCGGCCGCCAGCTGAGCGCACTGCTGCTTGTGCCCGCCCTCCTTCCAGTGCCGCAGACTGCCGCACCTCACCCGCCCCACTCCTGCACCGCCCGCCCGCGCGTCCGCCCGCCTCCCACACGACCCTTTTGGGTTGCTGGAATCTCTCAGTCTCTTGCATGAGATGGGTGCAGTGCTGCAGTCTGAGGGCTTACGGCTGATTTACAAGTCGTGCAAGCGCGGCACTGACACTGTTGATGAGGCATCGAGAACGGATGAGAGAGTGCGGTGAAGCATGAAAGGCAGGACCAGCTGCACTGCACGGACATCAGCAATCATCAGTAAAGACGCTATCGGGGATCAATGAATCGCTGCAAACTGCCCAGGGACCAACATGGGCAGGAACAACAACCACGCGCAACCAGGCACATGGCGAGCGGCTCAGGCGGCGGAGAAGCGCCACACGGTCTGGGTGTGGAACTGCTGGCCGGGGCGCAGGATGGTGGAGGGGAAGTTTGGTTGGTTGACAGCATCCGGAAACATGACCTGCATACCACCGGGGAGCACAGGCATCAGCAAGCAGCCAGCGGGAGGGATCAGGTTTTGTTTGCGTGCACAAGCAGCAGGCGGGAGGGGAGCGGGCACAAGGCACATGCATCACACCGGCCGCCCCCGCCCTCCTGCTGCTCACCGTCTGCAGGGCCACGCCCGCGTGCTTGCCGTACACAGCGCCGCCCTTGCCCGCAAACTTGCCCTTCAGAGAGTTGCCTGCAGGGGGTCGCCTCCTTGCTAGTCAGACCGGGGGGAGCTCTCGTGGCACACTCCACTGGGGCTGGGGGCCGCGGCATCTGCCGCACCACCCACGGAAGGCAAACTGAGGTGGGGGCAAAGCGAGGGAGGGGCAGCCCAACCTGTGTAGATGGCAAAGGCGGGGGTGTTGGTGAGGATTTCCAGCTTGCGGCCAGAGGCAGGGTGGTACAGCGTGGCAGCCAGCTGGGGCCTGCGCAGCAGCAACAACAGAGTTCCTGGCGGTCCGGGAATGCTATTACCAGTGGTGGTGCTAATGCGGGCAGCAGCGGTAGCGGCAGCAGCGTGGCATGCTGCATTGTGCAAGCCAGGCCGCGGGCGACCCCGGCAGGGCACAGGCGGCGGTCAAACGGGCACACTCACTGTTCGCTGGCGGTGAAGCCCTGCACCGCCTGCTTGGCATCCGGGCCCAGCCCAAACAGGGCAAAGGTCTCGCGGAAGCCTGCTGCGGGGGCGTCTGCACCGGCCACGGCAAGAGGGCGCTTGGGGGCAAGGCGCAGGTGCTGTGGCGTGCATGCAGCTGGGACGTGCGGGGCGGGCCGCACATTGGCTGCCCCATCGGCAGGCAGCTTTTGAGTCGGGTGAATGCAGCTGGGCCAAGCCCGCTGGCCTCCTGCACCGCCCGCCGCACCTGTGGCCAGCTGCAGCGCGCCGCTCAGCCGCCGCCGTGCCGCGCTGGCATCCACCCCTGCTTGCTTCTCGAGGCCCTCCCCGATCGCCAGCGGCGCCCGGAAGTCGAGCGGCGTGCCCGCCACGGCGGCCACCTTGCCCGTGGGGTTGGCGCCCGCATCTGTGGGCATGAAATAGTCGCTGCAGAGCACACACATGCACACACAGGGGCGGCCAGTTGAGTGGCAGGGGTGAAGACTGGTGGCCACGCACTGAAAGGGCGCAGCCTGGGACAGCCAGCGCGGCAGCAGAGGCAGAAGCTGTCAGCTGGAGCAGGCAGCGGGGGCACCCACGCGTTGATGGTCAGGTGGTGATCCAGAACGTCGCCGCTGCTGTGGCCGCCGAGGTTGAAGTAGGGGACAGAGAAGGGGTTGAGGGGCGTGGGCGCGTCAGCGGTGGCACGGATGTCTGCGCAGCAGCGAGGGGGAAAGCTTGAGAACGGCAGCAGGGGAGCCTGAGAACGGCTGCGAGGGGGAGCCTGAGAACGGCGCTAGCAGGTGGCGGTGGGTGACCTCGCTCAAGTGTGTCGCCCAGCCGGCAAAGCACGGCACAGCTGTGCGGGAGGCTGCACGGGCAGCAAGAGCTGTCCACACACCGTGCACAAGCTCATTGTTGGCAGTCAGCTTGTACGTGACCTGCAGGTAGAGCCCGCCGGGGAAGCCCTGCAGCAGCGGTGGCAGTGGCAGCAGCGTCAGGACTGCCCCTGTTGCCCAAACGCATCTACAGAGCCTCGGGTTGTCGTGCCAAGCGACTGGCGCCAGCTCTGGCAGCACAGCCAAGGGACTCGGTGCGCCCAGCCTCTCTGCTGCTGCTGCACGGCACGCGCCACGGCCGCGCACCTGCTCGCCGTCGCCGCTGGTGTAGCTGAGGCGCACCCAGGGCTCGGGTCCCTCCAGGTCTGCCTCCTCCACCACCCACTCCATGCGATGGAAGCCCACGTTGCCGCTGTGCAGCGTGGAGCGGCCCTTGTCGGTGTTGGCCTCCAGCTTGTACGTCTTGCCTGCATGCAGGGGGACGTGGTGGGCGTGCGTGCATGCCTGGAGGGCGAGCCGGTCGAGGGATGAGGGAGAGGAGAGAGTCGGGCGCGTGGCAGGCGAGGATGCGCCACAGGCGGAGCTCCCACAGGGGCGGCAGCGCACCATCCAGCTCAAACTGCGCGCCAGAGATGATGCCTCCCACGCGGCCCACGATGCAGCCGGACTTCAGCAGCCCGCTCCTACAAATGCCGTGAGGGCAGGAAACAACAATCGTAACGAAGCAGCGCACGGTGACTTTACCGGCGCCTTGGGGCGAGGCGGCGGGAAGGGCCTCCGCTGCGCAGCTTGCAGCGAGGCGACGTAGTACGCAGGCTTGCAGGATCTTCGAGCTTCTGTGGTATGAGGCTTGCAAGGAGAAGGCCGCAGGCAGGCTGATCCAAGCCCTCCAGATGCAGCACCATGCGACCCGGCGCGCGCCTGAGGACTCACCGGAGCTGATCCTCATTCTCCAGCCCCAGCAGCACGTCTGCAAGCTCTCCAGAACGGTCCGGGACCAGGAGTTTGGCGATACAGGCGCCCGTGGGCAGCATATGCGCCTCTGCGCCCCGTGAATTCTTCAGGACGACTACACGAGAGTCCTCTGCCGCTCCAGCCAGGGCCGCGAGAAGCACAAGCAAAATATAGGTGAGCATCTGGGCCATGTCTGCTCCCCTGCTCGAGGGAGCTCCTGAATGGCCCCTCGCCCTGCTGATCTGTGCGCCTTGCAGTAGCTTCAAAGCCCCGATGCCAGGGAGAAAGGCTGAGAACCGCCCTGTCAGCGATGCGCCAGCGCCCTGCGCTGGCATGCGCCAGGCCCGTTGCTGCCAAGGGCACCCATGGTTTACAAATGAAGCTGGAAAAGGGGTAACACGCACGTGGCGCTATATACAGTCCTAAATGGACCTAAGGGTACATGTACATGAGAGTCATGCCTGGATGTCATCCAGCGCTGCCCTCCGGCCCTCGTCCTCGCTCCGGCAGGCCGGATGCTGCCGCTGCCGCTCCTGCCCCAACCGCCGCCTGGTGCAGCCGCCGCTGCTGCTGCTGCTGGTCGGCCAGCAGCGCAGCCAGCAGCTTGCGGCGCTGCGGAACAGGGCTGCTCATCCGGCCCTCTGCCGCCTCTGCGGCGGCGTGGGCATACCGCCGCTGCCAGTAGGCTCCATAGCCGAATGCCAGCCCACACGCCAGGCAGGCCCCCGCCCACAGCGCCGCGGTGTGGTGCCGGGGCGGCGGCCTGCCATGGGCTGCCGCCGCCGCCGCCGCTGCCGCCGGGTCCCAGGCTCTTGCCGCTGCTGCCCCGCTACCCAGGTGCCCGGGCTGCCGCTGCAGGGCAAGAGCGCCAGGAGGCGGGGCTTCAGCGCCATGTGCGCACACTTGTGCCCTGCTGGATGGATGTGCGGGTGTGCAGCGGCTGGCTCACCCCCTTAAGCAGCACGTCTGCCGCCGCTTTGACGTCGGCAAAGCGGCGCGGGCGCTGGGGCTGGGGTCCATGTCTGTGGCAGCAAGGCCAGACGAGCGGCGCAGCAGCCTGAGCAGGAGCAGGGGCCTATATGCGAGCTTCATGCACGGCAGCAGGTGTTGCACAACAAACAAGGCTGCTGCCTGCCGCCGCCGGGAGCGCACTTACCCGGGTGGCATTTGAGGGCGGCGCGGCGGAAGGCCGCTTTGACATCCTCCCGGCTGGCGTCCCGTGGCACGCCCAGCACAGCCCACGGGTCTGTGTACGGCAGGTTGCTGCCCTGACCCATGCTGTGCCAGTCCTGGCCGTCTGCGAGCGAGTGCTGCCGCCAGCTGCCGCCACCAGCTGCCGCCGCCGGCGCTCCTACCTACCGCCAGGCGCCATGCACACCCTAAGGCGCCTGCTTGTGAAGGTTGCCCTGCTGCTCTTGTGGGAGTGGCTCTGTAGTGGGGTCCGCAGTGCGGCAAATCTCGACTGGGGAGAGAGCGGCCCAACGCTGTTTGAATAGATCAAGTGAGCATGTAGAATGCATGGGATGTCGTTTGTCGGTCCCAAGAAGCTTGCCACCTTTTGCAACGCCACGTGGCCGATATAGCAGAGGATAGGGTGTTGCGGGAGCTCCGTTTGGCGACGCAGCTATTTCAACCGCATCAGTGTAATTCAGGGTCGATTTGCAGCAAGCCGCTGCGCCTCCCAGCACGATGCAGGCAGCAATGTTCAGCCAGGCCGCCACGGCCGCCTTCAAGCCCGCTCTGAAGACCGTGAGTTGCCTCGGGATCCAATTGCTTAATTTTGGGCGCGGTGGGGCCCCATCTGCCTCCGACACCCCCCGCTGCACAATTTGTGCAGAGGGCGGCGCGCCGGAACGCGGTGCAGGTGCATGCTGTGGCCTCGGTGGAGCAGTCTGCGGGCGCAGCAGCCAAGGTGCGGCGCAGCGGCCTCCAGCCTCCTCCTCGCCGCTCCCGCCGCCGGGGCGGGCAACTTTGCGTTGTAGCAAACCCAGCCTTTGCTTCTTGCCATGGCGGCCCTCCTTCTGCTGCCTGCCTGGCCTGACTGACTGCACGCTGGTATGCTCCGCAGGCGTCTGGGGAGGAGCCGCTGCTGCTGCGGGCGCTGCGGGGCGAGGAGGTGGAGCGCCCGCCGGTGTGGATGATGCGCCAGGCCGGGCGGTACATGAAGGTGTACCAGGAGCTGTGCAAGAAGCACACCACCTTCCGCGAGCGCTCGGGTGCGGCGGCGGCGGCGTCGGGGCCGTGGGGCGCCTGCAGGAGCCGAGGCGCAGCCCGCCGGGCGACCCTGTGCCGCGCCGCCCGGCCCCCTGTGTGTGTCCACCGGCAGAACTTGCGAGCATCTCCCAAGCCCCCCTCCTCCTCCCGCCTCCCCTAACCCTGCCCTCCTTGCCTCCCTGCCCCTTTCCGCTCCTCCCCCTGCTTGTGCGCCCCGCAGAGAACGCCGACATCGCCGTGGAGGTGTCGCTGCAGCCGTGGCGCGCGTTCCAGCCCGACGGCGTCATCCTCTTCTCCGACATCCTCACCCCCATCGCCGGCATGAACATCCCCTTTGACATCGACAAGGGCAAGGGCCCCGTCATCGCAGACCCCATCCGCACCATGGAGGTGAGCCCGGGCTGCAGCCACTCCCAAGCTGGAAGTGCTGCAGGGCGCCATGGTGGTGGCCCCGCCAGGTGCTCCGGCTGGCGGGCAGGCGGCGGCGGCCGCCCTGGGCAGGCGGGTGGCTGGAGGGAGGGGCAGCAGAGCGGCAGGGCAGGCGTGGCAGGTGTGAGCAGGCTGAGGGGAGGAAGAGATGCAAGGAAGGGGAGGAGGCGGATGGAGCGAGGAGGCGGGAGCGGCCCTGCAGGCAGCCCAGCCCTTCAGGCAGCCCGTGGCGCCGCAGCAACCCTCAGCTGCCCGGGCTTTCCCCTCCCTGTGCCCCCCCCCCTGTCATCCCTCCCTCACCTCGCTTCACCCTTCACCCCTCCCTCCCCACCCACACATGCAGGCTGTGGACAGGGTCACCCCGCTGGTGCCTGAGGACTGCGTGCCGTTTGTGGGCCAGGCGCTGCGCCGCCTGCGCGCCGAGGTCGGCGGCGCGTCCACCGTGCTGGGCTTTGTCGGCGCCCCCTTCACCCTGGCAACATACATTGTGGAGGGTGCGTTAAGCAGCAGGGAGGGAGGGAGGGGGGAAGAGAGGGAGGGAGGGAGAGAGGGTGGTCACAAGGTGCTGGGGCGTGCCTTGCCTGCACCAGCGCCGGCGCAGGGTGGTCGGGCTGCGTGGCGCAGCTCCGCGCTGTCGCCCATCCCCTCGCCCCCACGCCCCTCACCTTCACACCACACCCAAATCCCTCCCCCGCCTGCCGCAGGCGGCATGAGCAAGAACTATGTGCAGATCAAGAAGCTGATGTTCACGGAGCCCGAGGTGCTGCACGCGCTGCTGCAGAAGCTGGCCGACGCGGTGGTCACCTACATTAAGTACCAGGTGGGAGCGCAGGCTGGGGCTGGTGCAGGCTGGGGCTGGTGCAGGCTGGGGCTGCCGAGGGGCTGGTTTGGGGCTGGTTTGGGGGCTGGAGTGGGCGCTGGGCCTGGCGGCGCCCTCTTCTGGCGCCCCGCCAGCCCGCCACCTCGCATCTGCACCCCTGGTCACCCCCTCCCCTCCTTCCCCCTCCCCTCACCCTGTTGCCTGTCCGCCCGCAGCACGACAACGGCGCGCAGGTGGTGCAGATCTTCGACTCCTGGGCGGCGCAGCTGAGCCCCCAGGACTTTGACATTTGGTGCGGGCCCTACATCAAGTACATCATCGCCGAGGCCAAGAAGGTGCTCGCAAGGGATGCACGGCG